CCCTTTTACAACGAGAGCAACAATCACCTCTTGTGGGTTTCACTTGAAGTCGTCTTTCTCTGCAAATATTACAACAACTGAATTCATAAGTCATTTGCTCAACCTCAAATGCTCGAATAGCRGCATAGCATTCATCTTCATGTTGACTTGATCCCGGTGGGGGTGGTGGGGGAAGATCATTTATCACTTCAAGGAGTCTCCTTTCGCCTTGCAAAATCCATCTTTGATTTCGGCGTCTCCGTCTTCTCTTATCGTCATCAGCTTGAGTAGTACCAGGTTTTGCAAACTCATAGGCAATACCAACAGCTCTTGCTCGCTCAATCAGTCCACTTTCATCGTTTCGGTCGCTAGCTTCAACACATGGTTGTCTGTCGTTAAGAACTGTAGGAACTTCACGCATCTCATCTGGCTCAGTATGTTGATTGCCAATATCCTCCAAATGAGTAGTATGCTGTACAGCTACTGCTGCTGCAATGAGTTCACTTTCTTCACTTTGAATACTAGTTTCAGCATGCAGTTGTGGGTTGCAAGGTGTTCTGGGTAACTTGTATTCTTCAACATGATGATTGTGAACTTCCTCCAAATGAGTAGTATTTTGCATATCATCTGGATSACCTATACCTGCTTGGACGAAAGAATTTCCAATAACATTAACATCATCATATTGTAAACACCTGAAGTTGATGCACATGCACTGTAGATATCATTTATGTGATTCGTGTGGTCTCCACCAAAGGTGCCTTCAAATTCATCAACTAAGAAAGAGAAAAAATAATAAATACTACATTTTGAAAGTAAGTGTGTTTTTGATAACAAAGAAATAAAAAAGAACACATTTGGTCAAAGATACAATATGTCAACAGCTTAGTGGAGAGGCGATAGAGCCGCATGTCTCACTTAAATATAATAGATAAAAAAAATAATACTTTGTCTTATAAAAATGACTGTTTTGATATTTTTCAATCTGATTACAGAAATCAAGTCAGAGGCAGTATGTAGAAATGAATGTAATACTGAGCAAAAGCTGAGACAAATAATATCTGATCTTAACCAGCAGTATCTGGCCACTCACTTGCACTTTACTCATTATCTATTGAGAATGCTGATGAAGGAAAACTTCATTGAATAATATTACCGAAATCATAACTTAACAATTTTTATTATAAAACTTATTAATAATGCATAAGCTATTGCTCCAATAAGGGCTGACCATTTAATCAGGTGATTGACCTTGTAAATCTGATACAACCACTAGTGTTGTATCAGATTTACAACACGGTCGTCACCATTGAGACAACCCAACACTAGCAAAGGTCTCAGTTTTAGTGTCGCATCATAGACCTTCACTAGGTTTTGAAGCAATCAAAGACGGATAACAGAACTCGCTTATGCAACAGATGGCTTGCTTTCCATGTGGGATGGATAATTATTCAAAATGTTCTGTGTTGCAGTAAATTGCGCATGCTTAATAGGGACTAAACTCAGCAGTTACCTTATTTGTCATTTTTCGTCATTTATCTCACTGTAATTCATGTTAATTTGTGTTGGAGTTTTATAAGTCGTTTACAACATTCGCGTCCGTGTTGTATGGGAATTACAATCTCTCGCCTGCGGCTCGAGATTGTAATTCCCATACAACACGGCCGCTCATGTTGTAAACTATAC